CGTCGGCGGGCTTATGGTAGCATACGCCATGTTTCAGAACTACTTCCCCGACGCCCTCCTCGGCCCTCTCCGCCGCTACTACCAAAAGCTCCTCGACCTCCTAAACCCCTATGTCGAAATCACCTTCCCCGAGTACCAAGGCTCCGGCTTCTCCCGCAGTCCCGCCTTCAAGTCCATTCAGCGCTACCTCAACGACACCTCCACCGCCCAGGCCCGCTGCCTCCAGGCCTCCTTCTCCCGAGCCTCCAACTCCGTCCTCCTCTCCATGGACACCCACGAGCAGGTATCTTCTTCTTATTCTGTCGTTACTCTTATTTATATGTTCATTCATATATATATGCTTTTATCTAAAAAATCTCCAAAATATTCAAGGTCACCGACGAGTTCTCCGGCGCCAAGATCTGGTGGGTCTCCGGCGAGACCGCCTCCAGCCTCCAGCAGTCCATCTTCTTCTACCCTCGTCGCGAAGAGAAGCGTTACTTCACCCTCACGTTCCACAACCGCCACCGCCACGTCATCACCTCCAAATACATCCCACACGTCATCGCCCAGGGAAAGGCCATCGCCACCCGAGAGCGGCGGCGCAAGCTATACACCAACGCCAAAGAAGACGGTGACAACAACTTGTGGAACTACGAGACTTTCAACCACCCGGCCACCTTCGACACCCTGGCAATGGATCCCGTCAAAAAGCATGACATCATCAACGACCTCTGTAAATTCGCGGACTCCAAGGATTACTACGCAAAAATCGGAAAGGCTTGGAAGAGGGGCTACCTCCTGTTCGGCCCGCCGGGGACCGGCAAGTCGAGCATGATAGCCGCCATGGCTAATCTCCTCGAGTACGACGTGTACGATCTCGAGTTGACCTCGGTCAAGGACAACACCGAGCTTCGGAAGCTTCTCATCGACACGTCCGGAAAGTCGATCATCGTGATCGAGGACATCGACTGCTCTATAAACCTCACGGGACAGAGAAAGAAGGAGGACGACAGTGACGATGAAGACGAAGACAACGAGAAGGATGAGATTGAGAAATTGAAGGGGAAAGTGGAAAAATTGGAGGAGGGTGGGAAGAAATCGAGCGAGGTGACGTTGTCCGGGCTTTTGAACTTCATAGACGGGCTCTGGTCGGCATGCGGCGGGGAACGGATCATCGTTTTCACAACAAACTACGTGGAAAAGCTCGACCCAGCACTTATCCGGAGGGGGAGGATGGACAAGCACATTGAGCTCTCGTATTGTGGGTTTGAGGCATTTAAGGTTCTTGCCAAGAATTATTTGGAAATCGAGGAGCACGAGCTGTTCGGCAAGATTCGGTCGATGTTGGAGGAGATTGAGATGACGCCAGCTGACGTGGCAGAGAATCTGATGCCGAAAGTGAAGGGCGAGGATGGAGAGAAGGGTCTGGTGAGATTGATCGAGGCGCTCGAGGAGGCCAAGGAGCTGGCCAGTGTGAAGGCCGAGAAACTGGCTGCGAAAGAGGAACAAGAGAACGAAGATGGCGGGAAGAATAAGGATTTGAATAATGGTGAGCCTGAAGTACAGGATGTGGAGAATGGGGGTGCCATTGAAGATGTTGAGGATAACTGAGAATAGATTTTGGCACTTAATTAGGATCACTTCTGCTGCTTTGAAGGAGACTCTCTGTCCTTTAAAAAAAATAAAAAATAAAAAAAAAAAATTATATTTTGATGCAGTCTGTTTATTATTCCACTTTTACTCATTTAATATTATTTTAATTAATGCCTTTTGTGAAGATAATTTTATTATTTAATAATTTTTAATTCATTGAGTTTTTATTATTACTCACAAAAACTAATGAAGTGTTGAGGTCAGACCTATGAAAATAGTCATTACATTCACAAAAACGATAAGAGTAAAAGAAGATGATGAAGAAGAAGAAACAAAGAAAAGAATAACATTCACTACTGATAAATATAGTCCATAGCATGTATATCACATGAAACCGATCTGCTATATGTTAAACATTCCGACAACTTACTGAAAAACATCGTATTTTTTTGTGCCGAGTCATATAAATCATAATCGCTTGAGCCGCGCACAAGCCACAAATGTCGGGCCTGTCCTTAGTACCTTAAATTTACGCATACCAACATTCGTTATTCAAAAACTCCGGCACACTTAAGTTTTTCCAAGTCTAATACACAACTTCAAGTGTGACGTGAACGTGATTATACCTTTCTGTTTATGTGAGGTAATGGCTTCGGGAGAGGGCACTGTAGTAATTTTCAAGAGGATGACCAGAACAAGCAAATCGAGACAGTCTAGCAAAAGCTTATTTTTCATTAAAATGTCAATTGTTGCAATGTCAAATGGAAACAAAACAAAAAAAA